AAAACAAAAAGAAATGTTTCTTCTCAGTTTAACAGCTTCAGAAAATAAAAAGGATAGTGACATTCTTGGTTTGTCTTCGGTGTGCCTAGTATTTTACGTAACATTATTTCTAAGCCTTATAAGAATCCTGAAAAGAAAGTATTCTCTCATCTTTTTCACACATGAAGAAACCGAAGCTTTTAAAAATTGAGGAATTTACCCAAAACTACACTGCCATTAAATAGTTGAAGCTTGGATTCTAACTTGTATTTTTTTGTATTTTTTCCCCTCATAATGTTTTCATTTTACATGTTGCCATTTTTAAAATTAACCTGCTGTGACTGCATGGCAATGGATTTATGGAGATTCATATTAACTTATTATACCAAAGATCAATTAAAAGTATATACAAAGAAAAAGAATCTTCCATTTGGCCAAATCAACAGCAGACAGAAATTACGCCTTTTACTGTAGATGCCAAAAGCCTCAGGTTTGATGGCACTTTACTGAGTCAAAGATGATCCAGAAAAAATATAATGCTTTCTGCTTTTTAAATTTCAAGTAACTGGAATACTTTAGGTACTACTTTATTTCAGGTAGTACTGTCTCCATTAGTAAGCCCAATGAGTAAGCATTACTTGTGTGTGTTAAGAATAAGAATCATGAGGATATTTTTATTTGTTTATCATGATAGAATAATTAAGCATAAGCCTCAATGAGGGCCAGGAGTCCACTACTTAAGCAAGTCAGTTGCTCACCAAGATTCTGTTGTCGGTGTTCTATGTGATACCTGAGAAAAACTGCTCTGGATATAATTCTAGATGGTTAAGGTTGAAGAAAATCCATGCTTTTGGTTGTTTGAGAAAATGTATTCACTGACCTGGATTCATCTTGAAGGTAAACTTGGATTCTTTGCTGTTCATGAGGTCAATAAACTCCTTCAGAGCAGCATAAAAAGGTTGAACTCTTTCAACAGGCACATCAAATACTGTGTCCCTAGTTGCATTATTGAAGTTGATGCGAACCACTTGGCCTTTATCATCTAACCTGTTTTATTAAGAGAAAAAATTAATATATAATTCATGAAATATCTATTTACATTGATAAGGGTCAATTCCTCTTCAAAGATATTTTTGAAACACCATATTAAAAAATCCAAATACATGTACAGAAGATCTTAAGGCTACCTGTGGTACAATGTATTCCTTGTTTTTTCATTCATTCATTTAGATTTTTTTCTAAATCTTACTACTTCAGTGCCAGGAGAATTCAACTTAAATTAAAATAAGTATTACTGAGAGATTCAAGTTAAAAATTTTGTTATGCTTGGTTAAAGTCATTCACTCTTTGTTATTCGAAACAGGTATTAAAATCCTTTCATGTCACAAATTTATAGGTCAATTGTTCTATGTGTTTCATTTATTAAGGTTCTAAGTGTGATGGTTTTATTTGCGGGGGATGATGGAAAGAAAATTTTACTTTTAAAATGGTTTGAAATGCATGATTCTAATTCAATCCTTAGTTTACAGGTGGGAAAACTGAAGCATGAGAAAAGAAGGGACTAGCCTGAGGTATATTCTTTCCATCTATTTACTCATCCTACCTATCTTAGTATTGAGGCTTCCAGAAGACGGTGCTATATCTCATTTAATGTTGTATTCCTAGCACTCAACATAGAGCCTGGACATAACAGGCAGTTAATAAATATTTGTTGCACATGTCACTCTCTATATTTTTTAGTATCTTGGGAGGGCACTAAGGTTTTTTTTGTTTTGTTTTGTTTTTAAGTAATTTGAGAGCTCTTAATGTTGTGATCTCTATTCTCTTTCTTAAAATATGGATTATCGCCATGCCAATGTAAGGTAATACAGCTTTTAATAAAAGGAAAGAAGGTCGGGCACGGTGGCTCACACCTGTGATCCCTGCACTTTGGGAGGCCAAGGTGGGCAAGGCAGTTGAGGTCAGGAGTTCGAGGCCAGCCTGGCCAACATGGCAAATCCCTGTCTCTACTAAAAACACAGAAAAAAAAGCTGGGCATGGTGGCACATGTCTGTAATCCCACCTACTTGGGCATGGTGGCAGGCACCTGCTTGTACCTAGGTGCCAGAGGTTACAGTGAGCCAAGATTGTACCACCACACTCCAGCCTTGGCAACAGAGTATGACTCTGTCTCAAAAATAAATAAATACATAAATAAATAAATAAGGAAAGAACATTATTTCTTAGATTTGAGCTTTGGTGGTTATAATTAGCAAGACATGAACATCACCCAGATACAGAGGCAAAAAGAGGAAACTGTTTTATAGCTTATTGGGAAGGTGGACCTTCAGACAGTTTTAAAGTGTCGATCAACTTTATCTTTTCTTTAGGTAAAAACAGGATGAAGGCATGCAAACTGAAGGTGGTCAAGGATGGTGGCAAAGTGCCTAGGATTACTCCTGGGAGCAGCATCCTAGAAGGACAAGCGCAGGAAGTGGTAATGAGAACCAACAACTGACCAGGGCCCAGGCTTGGTCAGTCAGACCAAACACATTATTACATATATCTGGGTTTGGTGACCTTGGTTTGGGGTCTGGGTTACATTTAGTGAATATTATCAGCAAATGGGGAAAGATGCCATTGACAGTGAAGTACAAATTGTGACTATCAGGGCCCCTTGTGCATGGTGGCTCTGGGCCAAATGGCAATTGTAATGGTAAACTCAACAGTTGGTGATTAGCACCAATTTTTTGCTTACTGGGTAAGGCCTGAAAACTACCTATTGAATCCACACTGGGAAAGAAAGTAAAAGGAAGGAACAGGCTTTCAAAAAGGCTCTTAGACTCTTAAAACGTAAATTTACATGTATTAATAACAATACAAATGTGACTCACTAGGTAATGCAGTACCCTACCCGCTTCCACATGCTTTCACATAAATCAAGAATTCTGAGCCTTTTGGATACAGCTTTATGTACAAAGAATCAGATAGAAGGTAAGTCAGCAGAAAAGACCTCTAGGATTTAGTGGAACAGAGAGTACACGACCTTTCAATTACCCTCTTAGAGTTCATGCTGCTGGTTTAAGACCTCTGTCACGGTATCTGAGGCCATTTGCCTGTTGATATTACCTTCAAGATTCTAGCCTTACGGCTTCTGACCCACTTTTCCTCTTTTTTTTTTTTTTTGGTTCTTGTTATGTGTTCTGTACATATAATATTATCGTCTGTGTCATCCACCAAAGGATGTCATGACTTTGGAACTTCTGGGGGGTCATCTGTTTCAGTCACCCTCAAGATCTGCTTTATTTTTTTCCCACTATTACCATAGCTCCTTGATTTGAATAGTTATGCTAATTTTGAGCTAACTATTCTAGAGTCCTTGGGTATATCCTCATGTATCAGTGAAAGGAATTTTGTGATTAATAAATGTAATGACAATCAGAATTGGATGCCTCATGGTATACTAGATTAGGTTTTCATTTTTAAGAGTTTACCTATACAGAAAAGTAATCAACTTTTTTTGTGTTTATAGTGTAACACAGTCCCTGCTTTCTTTTACCTACTGTTTACCTGAGAAAACAAGACACAATTTTATTATTTAGCATTCTCAGCAATAATAGAGGAATGGAAAGCAAATTTTGTTATAAGATATAGAGGGGACATTATTCTGAGGATTGAACAATGTTATAGGAGATGGGTAGCTGGTACCTTGAAGACCAACCTACAATGCAAAATTAAATGTTAGCAAGAAATTTGATGCCTAATAACAGAACAACAGGGTCTAATGTAAGTTTGCATGCTGAGGAAAGGTAAAAAGCCACAAAAGATGGGAGTAACTGGCTATATATTAGCTATATATAAAGGACAAATTAATTAAACTTAAACCAACAACACAGTGGCTGCGAACCAGCAAAAGCAAAACATTATCAATGATGCCAACAAAAAACAACCAAAGAAAGGACTTTAAAATGATCTTCTACAGTTTGTGTTGTGAGTACTCCTCACTAGTGGCAGCATTCTGCCTCAATGATAGATACAATGTTTTATGGAACTTGCATTTGTTATGGGAATGCCACTACAGTGTTGTCTACCATGTCGTAATTTATGAGAATCTGCAGGAAAAATTTATTTCAGACTTCAAAAGCATCTTGCCTTGTAACTGATTATATTCTGTTTGCTTTGGTTTCTAGAAACTCAGACCTGAAATAGAAATCTCTCCCCAGTGAGTGTGTTGGACTTCATGCATATTATAGCTAGCTAAAATTTATTTTGCATTTTCTAAACTAGGCGCAATAGTAGGGGCTTCCATATATTAACTCTGCAATTCCTACTTCAATTATGTGTGGTAGTATATTTTGTTTTCTTTTTTTTTTAACTGGAAAATATACTGTGGATCAGCACGGGTAAGTAATCACATAAGAGATTACACAGCTGGCAGGTAAAAGACTTGAATTTACGTGATTGAATTTGTAATTGATAGGATAGTTGAGTCTCACTGTCATTATTTTTGCTCGTTTCTTTATTGGTTTATTTTTCTTTGTACTGAATTATAACTAATTTAGTCAGCAACATAAAAGACATTTTTGTACTAGGACATACAAATTTAAAAATTTAATTGCAAAGTAAATTAAATTAACCCAAACACTTAGGAGATGGAGGCCCTCTGTTAACTGAGAACACTTTGTTTCATTTCCTGTTGTTGAAAATATACTTTTAAGTGAATTAATGTTAACCACTTGATATTTATTCTCCAGGGGGTTATTCCTGAGACCTCACAGATGGCCAAATTTTGAAATTTTACTTCAGAAAATATCAAAGCCAAGTCATGAGCCACACGGTGGTCATTCAGTTAATCTAATCTATAGCTATGTTTCTTACCTCTGTTCACTAACCTTGCAGAATCTGTAATCGTATTGTGTCTCAACAAAATTTTGATTTGTCATGAATTTTAAGGTAATATTTGACTAGTTAAAACTGTCACGTTGGCCGGGCATGGTGGCTCACGCCTGTAATCCCAGCGCTTTGGGAGGCCGAGGTGGGCGGATCACGAGGTCAGGAGATGGAGACCATCCTGGCGAACACGGTGAAATTCTGTCTCTACTAAAAATAAAAATTAAAAAAAAAAAAAAAAATTCATGGGGCGTGCTGGCGGGCGCCTGTAGTCCCAGCTACTCGGGAGGCTGAGGCAGGAGAATGGCGTGAACCCGCGAGGCGGAGCTTGCAGTGAGCGGAGATCGCGCCACTGCACTCCAGCCTGGGCGACAGAGCGAGACTCCGTCTCAAAAAAAATACAAAAAAAACAAAAAACATAAAAACCTGTCACGTTATAACTAAGAGTCTCCAGTTATTTCCTTTTCACCTTGATGAGTGAACTCTCAGAAAATGTCTCAGGTTTATTCTGAACTAGAATTTTATTCTTGGCGTCTATCTTTTTCTCAGACGCTTCCTCCAATCTTTCAGGAAAACGATCTGTTTATACATGCAAATTGTAACCAAAACCTGACCCTTCTCCAAACCACCACTGCTGTCACTCAAGCCACTCATGTTCAAGGCACCACCATTGCTAGTCTGGAGTCATGCACTAGCTTCCTAGCTGGTCTTCCTGCTACTATCCTTGCTCTTTCTAGCAGTCAGGGTGACCCATTTAAAATATAAAAGTTTTTCCTTTGATCAGGATCTTGCAGCAGCTTCTTATTTCACTCAGAGTAAATATTACCGTTATAATTTGCTAACAAGACTCTACAGGAACTTGTGCCCCATCCGACTTCCTCCCCTAATACTTGCCTCCTTCACTCTGTTCCAGTCACACTGGTCTGCTTGCTGTTCCTTGAACACCGCAGACATGTTCTTAGGACCCTCTTAGAACTTTTGTTCTAGCAGTTTTGGGAAACTGCTTCTCTTTTGAAAACTCCCTCACTCCTTTAAGTGTTTGCTCAAATCTCAGTAAAGCTTTCCCTCACCACACTGTTTAATAATGCAAGTTCCATCCTTGCTAAGCCCTACAGATTCCCCTTATCTTGCTATGCTTTTCCTTTTTTTCTTAAGCACTTAACAGTTTTTAACATTTATTATAATATGCTCATCTGTTTAAAAATCTTTAACATTTCCCTCCCCCATTAGAGTATAAGCTGTATGAGGGGAGAAATCTTTGTTTTGTCCACTGATGTATTCCAAGCACCAAGAAAAGTGGCTGGTCTCAATAAATATTTGTTGAATGAATAAATTAATGTACTGGGGATTTAATTATTTTCTAAATGAGTTTGTTTTCATACCATTTGGCTGTTTCTCTTAATGGAAAAATTTAAACTCAATTCTAAAATTATACCCCCCTACCAAAATTAATTGAGGTATTATTAAATAAACTGTTGTAGAAACAAAATGTAAGATAATTTGCAAATAAAAGGATAAATTTGTGGCCTTTGTAGGTACTTGGAAAAATCATGATAAAATAATATTTAATAAAAAGAAAGGGAGAACACAAAATGTTCTGTGTAGGTAATATATGATCTTTGTTGGCTTAGCATCTCTTTGGGGAGTCTCCCTGTTTCATTCTCAGTCGGTGTGGTTCAAATGAGGCTGACCCTGCTCCACAGTTGAACATGTGATCCAGGCATGGACAATCAGGATTCTCTAACCCATTGACCATGATGATTGGTTCAGGGATAGACTTGGACAGAAATTAGGGAGTGGGTCATCTAGCTTTATTGTAGGTATTGGGAAATAAAAGCGTTCTTTGTGGTGTGATTACTAGCTCTAAGGACAATGAAAACTTGGAGCTTCTGCTGATCATCTTTGAAAATAAAGCCAACATAGAAGATTGCAAAGCTGAGAAGAAAAAAGGGACCAATATCAGGTGACATTGTTTAACTCTTGGATCAACCTATTTTGAGTTATATTATTTCACTTCTGGCCAAAAGCTTTCTGACTAGTATAATCACATTGATTATAGCTATGTAGAACTTATATTCAAAAAATGAAGTATACGTGAAATCTTAGTTACTTTTCCTCTAATATTAGTTAGGAATAAATTTCATGTAATTTGATAAAAAATATTATAGTGAAAATACTATCACTCTAAAATTGGGTTAAATGTTAATAAAAATAAAGCTCTGAAGTTCACTGAAATTTTGTTCTGTTTAAACTTTAGATTAATGTAGTTTTGCTGTCAATTGTTTTATTGCTATGGGAAATTTATAAGTAGTACTTACTCTATAATTTTGTGTTTTGATTGTACAGAAAAATCACAGTAATCCACTCCAATGTCTGTAAAGTCCACGAAGGTAGAGGATAAAATCTGAAATGCCTGAGGATTATTTTGTTTTAGCTTTTGGCACACATTAAACCCATCTACAATTTCTGAATCACCCCCTGTGACTGTTTGCTTTATGCAGTGAAGAAGCTGAACCTACAAAAAGAAAATATGCATTATTAAATAAATATTAAATTAAATTTTAATTATTAGAATTAAATAATCTTCAATAAAATAAAATAATACGCATGCACCATTTTTTGATACTGTGTTAAAGATTCAAAAGGCTATGAATAAACCAAAACCAACAAACCCTTTTTTGTTTTTGTCTCTCTTATGTTATTGGAAAACAGTTGGGAAGAAAAACGTTGCTTATAATCAATACTGTATAGTTCAAACACGTTACAGTTGAAGACATAGATGCAGGCATGATAATGCTCATTAGCAAACAAAAAGCACAGCTTGTAAGAGCTGCAGAGATGGAGCACTTGATGTTAGAGTAGGCAGGGAAGGATTTCCAGGGGAAGAGGCGGGTAAGTTAGACAAAGGAGAATAGATGAGATTTGGGTTATGCAGAATAGAACGAGAAAGCAAATCAGGTGACAGAAATAATGATGTGCAAAAATGCACAGTTCACTGGGTAATAAAAAGTCTGGCTACAGCAGAGGGCCATAAATAGAAAGAGTGAATCAGGTTGGAAGGGCAATTTGAGGCCTCATGATGGAGAGTCTTAAATATCAGATGAAGGGCTTTTGTACTTGTGCATAGAGGGAATTCACTGAAGCCTTTTGAATACGAAAGTAATGTAGTCGGAACTGAGCTGCAAAGTATTAGGCCAGTGGTGTTATATAGGATTATGATTTTTTTTTTTTTTTTTGAGGAAGGAACTGGTCAGAGTAGCAAAACAATAGCATAACTTTGTTTTTGGAGGATCACAGTGTTCTTTAAATCCTTTTAGATTTTGCCATCATGAACTGACAGAATATTTCAAATGCTAATTTTTAAAAAGATTAGCTGATGTTATTTACATATCTCAAAGCCTGTTAATACTTTCTTTTGTACAGTTATACTTTTTATACAATCTTCCAATAGAAAAAAGATGATGGAGCCTGATAAAACTTTTATTGCTAGGTTAAAAGGCAAATATATTCCTGTCAATGTATAAAACCCAATTTTACTTCATGTGAGTCATTCAGAACCCAAAATATTTTCCTTCTAAATGTTACTTAATGCAACATGTGACTTCTGCAAAGACAGTGAGTGAAGCAACATCTCTGTTTCATTAAAGATATGGTGACTTATCTCTGCCCCACATAATCCAAATCGATCAAACTGAACTCTCAACAGGTAACTCATTTTCCAGATTATTTCATCTGTACAGAAAAATATATTGGTTTGTTCTATTTGTTATTGAAAATATCAAACCTTGGCACAACTCCCCTGGAATAATTCAAAATGGAAATTTGAACAATAGTACAAACAGGTTGCCTATATTTTATTATTCTAGTAGAATCTAGACATTTTAGGAATCATCTATTATTTAAAAATCTATCAAGTCACTTAGTTTGAATGTTTTATTTACTGGACACAAGTACAAGTTTGTTGCACTTCTTTGCCTCTTTATAGCATATCTACGACGTCTCTATTACATGCAACGTGCATGAACGTGCATGTAAGTATTGAGATACAAAGTATTGAGATACGAAGAACTGTGAGTCAATTCTTTAAGAAGTTTGTAAAGTATGATAAAATCTATAAATATTCTATTTTACTACATAAATTATAATAAGTGGAAATTCCAGCTCAGGATCTGTGTGGTGTGACAGAAAACTATATAGAGGCCTGGGTTCAAGTCCAAGTTCCTCCTTAATCAAATGCCACCCTATAAAAGTATTGAATCTTGCCGGGGGTGGTGGCTCATGCCTGTAATCCCAGCACTTTGGGAGGCCGAGGTGGGCGGATCACGAGGTCAGGAGATGGAGACCATCCTGGTTAACATGGTGAAACCCTGTCTCTACTAAATATACAAAAAATTAGCCGAGCGAGATGGCGGGCGCCTGTAGTCCCAGCTACTTGGGAGACTGAGGCAGGAGAATGGCGTGAACCCGGGAGGCAGAGCCTGCAGTGAGCTGAGATGGCGCCACTGCACTGCAGCCTTGGTGACAGAGCGAGACTCGGTCTCAGAAAAAAAAAAAAAAAAAAAGTGTTGAATCTTGTGTTTCTACCTTAAAGGAATATCAAGAAGAGTCAGATAAAGTAATGAAAGTAAAACTGCTTTGAAATAGTATAATGTGCTATGAAAAAGTCACGCATTCTATTGTTCTTCAGGAACATTTATGAAGCCATTTGATCACTTTTCCTTAGGCTTCGAATTTTAACCCAGAAACAAAACTTAAATTCTTAAAAGACAGAAGATAACTTAAAAATTCAAACAAAACTTTTAGTTTTCTAGTCTCATTCTTTAATCCTTATTCCATCCAACTCCCTCAATGTATCTTTGTAAGATGAGCTGAGCTGATTAATTTGGCTCTTAACCCTAGGGTTTTAGAAAAATCGGAGCCACATTTAGAATAAAATCACGTGGTGTGTCTCCTGCTCCCAACCCTTACCCAAAAAGGTGTCTACAGGGGTCATTTTACTGCCACTTAGTTCAAAGAAATCGTGTGGTGTTTTACAGTCAACAAAATAATTTTAAACATGTAAAGTCAAATATTAGACTAGCGTAGCCAATACTGGCGAGAACAATCGGTAACCACAAGGGTGCAGATAAAACATGTTCAGTGAAGATAATGAAAAAAATGAGCTACTTGTGATTTTGGCCCATTTCTCCTTTGTTAACTTAAGAATTGCCCAAATTTTCATTTACCTTTAAAGATACAGATTTCTATGTGGTTATTTCACATAGTCGAATTTAGCTCTAAAAATAGGGATGGCATATCTTTAGGAAGGTAGTTTCCTAACCACTTATTTTTGGTGTAATAAAATGAAGGTTTTGTAAAAATGTAGCTCATTTAGTAAAATGAAACTTTTGTAAAAATGTAGAGAAAGAATGTCCACCCAGAGATTCTCCTGGGGATTTGTGGCTTCACACTGAGCATTTCCCTCCTTGACAAGGAATCTGATAGATGGGATGTTGGATGGTTTCCAAAAATAGCCACTGCTATTCTGTTCCTTGTAGTCACGCAGTTTGTAATGCATTTTTGCAGCTTCCTCCATAAAGGGTCTATTTCCTCACCTCCTGAATGTGGGCTAGATTTATTACTTCCTTAGACCAATATAACATTGCAGAGGTGACTAGCCTAGGCCTTGAGAAGCTGTGCAGCTGTCTGAAAATTCTTCCAGTTGCCATATGCATTAAACCTGGGCTAGCCTACTGGTGGTCAATAGACCAAGTGGAGCAGAAACCAGCCATCTCAGTGAAAGTCAGTCGGACCCAAGTCAACTTAGAAACCGATTTCAGGTATGTGACTGAAGACAGGAGCTGCCTAGCTGAATACAGCCCAAATTGAAAAGACAAGGGCTAAGTAAAGGGCTATTTTCTTAAGCCATCAAGTTAGGGAGTGAGTTATTTTTTTGTGTGTGTTACACTTTAAGTTCTGGGATACATGTGCAGAATGTGCAGGTTTGTTACATAGATATACAGGTGCCATGGTGGTTTCTGCACCTATCAAACTGTGATCTACATTAGGTATTTCTTTTAATGCTATCCGTCCCCTATCCCCCCAACCCCCCGACAGGCCCCAGTGTGTGATGTTCCCCTCCCTGTGTCCATGTGTTCTCATTGTTCACCTCCTACTTATGAGCGAGAACATGTGGTGTTTGGTTTTCTGTTTCTGTGTTGGTTTGCTGAGAATGATGGTTTCCAGCTTCATCCATGTCCCTGCAAAAGACTTGAACTCATCCTTTCTTATGGCTGCATAGTATTCTATGGCATTTATGTGCCACATTTTCTTTATCCAGTCTATCATTGATGGGCATTAGGGTTGCTTCCAAATCTTTGCTATTGTGAACAGTACTGCAATAAACATACATGTGTATGTGTCTTTATAGTAGAATGAGTTTTAATGCAGCAGGAGTTAATGGATATGAATGATGCCCATGTGACTTGGAGGGAAACCCTACATTTTGTTTACTGATTCCATTTTCTCTCTTAACGTTCTTAGAAATATATGTGCAGAAAGACTTCAAGATTTACTACTACCTTAAAATCTGTCTTAGCAAAGCAAAAAAAAAAAAAAAAAAAAAACCTCTTATTCCAAGTATTAAATAAAACATA